TTTTTTTTTTTTTGGTTTTTCTCCGGTACTGGGAACTGAACTCACGACCTTGCGCTTGCCAGGCAGGCGCTTTTGCCGCTGAGCTAAATCCCCAGCCCTGGACAGGAATTTTCTTGACATCACTGGGGATTTGGTCCTTTGACCCCCACATGCATTGGTAAGAGTGAAGTGCAAGGTCCATTTTGTTCCCGCCATACCTACACCTTCCTGTGAGGCTTGGCCCCAGAGCTGCGGAGTGCTGAGCCTCTTCTGATGCATGTATTTGGCTACTACACAAAATTTTTCCTTTTTTTTTTCTTCAGGATTCTTATGCTGTTATTAAAAAATAGGGGGTTTTATTAATGACAAATGCTAATACATGTGTGTGCATGTATACCCACAATTTGAACAGTAAAGTGTATGCTTTTAAATCAGAGTCAAATTGTTTTTAAACCCATGACAATCACTTTGTTCCCACTATATTCCTGCAATTTTCCCTTGAGCTTAAGCTTGTGAGGCATGGTGTATGGAAAATTTGTTCACAGATAAATTTGGGGGAAAGTGGAACTACTGTTTCCCTCCAGTAGGATTTGGGGATTTGCTTACAATGGAATGCCAGGTACTGAAGGTACAGAACCAGGGATCACATGTGCTGAGTTTTCTAAAACTAGGACCTGGGGATTGCTATAGGTGTTTGGTTTCAGTCAGCTGGTCGCATAGTACGGTGACCTTATACCCAGCACACCCCTAATGCTGTAGGTGCAGATAAGGTGGTTATGAGACAAAATACGGTGCACAGAGGGCTGGCCACCTGTGAGCATCCTGGAAATGTTCCTGCACTTTCTAACAGGCTAGGTGCAGAGCCAGAATTAGAGGTTTATTTGAAGACAATTTAGGAAGGAACTTCCATGTGCCAGATTATTGGTTAGGAAAAGGTAAAATCTACCTGTAGAAAGATGTTCCAGTGCTAAACTAGATTTGGGAAGAATAAGAGTTGGTGTCAATGCTGCTGTTGATAGGACACAGAAGCACAATGTTCAGTTTGTTCAGTGTTTATTAAGTAGATTCAGTCATATATGATATACAGATTCAAAAGGAAAAGGTTCCACATACATATGAAATCAGTGCATTTAGCAGTAATACCATGGAGATAACAGCTCGATTAACAGCTCATTGGTCTTCTGGTAAGTGAGGGAGAGGGAGTCGGCCTGTGCTAGTCATTCCACAAACAAAACAGAATTTAGTTGCATCACATAGAAGACACAATCTAAGAATTAAAATATTAAGCCACATTTACTGGAAAAACTCACTGTACAGAACACAAATACTTTTTATAGAGAGCATTGAGGAGGAAGTCCACACCTGCTTAGAAGAGCCACGTTTTTAAGTTGCATAGGTGCATATCTGTAAAAATATAATTTAGAGGTGAAGACATTGATTAATAGAGTCACCTTAAGTTGGTGCCATCCACTGCTTGCCATAAGTGCCATATGCTTACTGTCTGGATCCCCCATCACTTCCCAGAGGTGGTGGCTCACGAATGAGTTGCCTCCAGCAGAACCCTGCAGAAATGCTTACATTATCTGCACTGAAAGTTAAAATCTCTTCTCAGACATGAGCTTGTTGTCTCCTTCCAGAACATGCCTGTTATGCCAGAGAATTGGCGACCTCATGGGTTGTTCCTGAATCCTGGTTGGCTTAATCCTGAAGGCCACAGGCATCATCTTGACCTTCCCATTGCCAACCTGCTCAGAGAAAAATTTCATCCCAGAGCTTGGTAGTGAAGTCCTGCCTTCGCTTTTCATCTGTCCATGTGGCTAACAGGAGGTCTCTTCTGACCCCTGCTTCTACAGGACACATGATGAAGGCAGATGGATGAGCCATCTACTAGGCAAAAAATGTTTTCCAGCAAATCTGAGTTCTATGTGGTGTAGGTTTGTGTTCTTATTTTTAGGTGGAAACAGGTAAAAAGTTTTTTTGTGTGTGTGGCTTTGCTAAGCAGATGAGTGTAGTGAGGTGCATCCTCCTCCTCAAGGGGTGAGTCTTGCAGAACACACAGGGACTGGGGGCATCTGTACATGTAAACAGTACACTTTCACTGAGTCCAAAATTAGGAGCAAAAAATACAAAGGTTCACATTGGTCTTAGGTAGATACAGGAGAAAAAGGATTGAGCTGTTGAGCTCAGAAACAACAAAAACAAAGTTTCTAAAGCACCACTAAATTATATAAAAATCAGACCACGGACGGATTGAAACTGGTATTCTGGTGAAATACTTTACTATTGTGTAAAAAGTTTTACAAAAAATTACAAATTAAAAGTATCAACCCTCTGAGTTCAAAGCAGCATTTTGAAAATGAACTGGTAGTTAATCCTGTAACCACCCCTGGAGTCAGTCATATGTGGCCCTTGAGAATAGGGAGGGATGGATGGGTTCTACCTGTTGGAAATTCTCTGAGACCCTTCCAGCCCTGCTCATCCTCTCCCCAACACCATCCTTGGGAATAACCTGTCCATCTTTGAATGGTGACAGAAAAACTTGTCAGATGGGTCACACTATCACTAGTCTGTTAAATGACATGCCAGTAAGACAAAGGTGCCCACTTCTCCAGTTTTACCCTTCTTGTCCCCTGCAAAGATTCTAGGACTGGTACACCCTACTTTTGCATTTCCTTTTGAACTTAGGGTTCCCAGGGATGACTTTGTACCTGAGACCTGCATAAGATATAACTGGCTGTGGGGATGAGGCTTTGGGAGTGTCGGTTGGTAGAGGACAGCTTCTCACTGAGGGTGGACAGCAGTGAGCTAAGGTCCATCAGAACCAACTGTGGTGCTTTCCTAGTCAGGAGTGGGTGGGAAGGCTTGAAGCTGCATCTTTTAAAACAAAAAACAGAAAAAGTTCCCTGACAAAACTAGCTAATGGGATCCTATTTCCATTCAGTAATTTGCCCCTGAATCAGCCAGCCATCTCTGAGGTTTCAGGTATAGCTTTTCTGTAGGAGCCCACCTCAGAAGTGGGGTTACCATGATGGAATCCACTGTCCTGGAGGCCCCTGGACTACCACTACTGGCATTTATTTTCTTTTTCTTTAAAAACGCATGGAACCTATGCTCACTGCAGCCTTGAAGGCAGGCTGACGGTGGTTAAGACAGCTTGTGCTCAAGAACATGGGGCTTCCAGCTTCTGCTTCTGCTGATCTTTTAGGTCAGTTACTACGGGGGCAGAGGAAAAAGCCCCTTCTCGGTCTTACACTTCATCTGCCAAGAAATGCAAACCATTTGTGTCTTGCATGGATACTGCCTCTGGGAGGAGAAATGACAGGTTAAGCAATTGATACCAGGATTTGTAGGGCGGCGATTGTCTCTGCCAGTTTTTAACATTAAGATTTCCACAAATTGCCTAGGGTAACGTTTTGCAAAGGATCTACTGATTACTTTGTAGTATTGTTCACACACAAAAATAAATATTTACACAAATTCAAATGTTCAGAGTCGTACTGAGCAGGTAGGGGCTGGGCACGTGCAGGGCTGGTGGGGAGAGGCCTTGGGCACTAGAGTTTGTGCTGTGCTGAGGGGGTCTTGCATGTCCTTGCCCTGACTGGAGACCTAGGGATCAGTCATAGGGAAGGCAGAGGTGGTGTGGCTGGGTGGGTGTTCCAGGCCACATAAGGGAGCACCCCCAACTTTGGGGTGGAAGTGTGTGGGGGTACCCTGCCTTGCAGTTCCTGGAGCATCTGAGCAGGATGAGGGACCTGCACCAGCACTGCCTGCCCAGCCCTCCTGAGGGGTGGTTTGCCACAGTGCCAGGAGGCAGGGCCATGGCTGCAATGAGCAATTGGCTGCAGAAAAGCTGTCCTGGGAAGGGGTGCTTGTTCTGGGATCAAGTGGTTCTCTGCAGCTGTCCTAGGGTCCACTTGGCCCTGGCTCCCCTGGGGCCTCTTTGCTGAGGGAAGAAAGGCAACGGGGCTTCTGCCGGTTCTCGGCAGGGGTAGGCAGCAGAGAGCTGCTGTCATGGCTACAGAGTGTTGCATGGAGAGGCCCCATGGGCCTACTGAGGTCTGGGTGAATCCCTGGTTTTAGCAGCACTAGTAGGTATTGCACTGAGCAAGAGGAAGTGCCTATCAGGGAGGAAGGAAACCAGGCCAACTTTTTCTTTTTGCCCTTTTTCACACTCAAAACTCTAGGTTTCTCCCAGGACTGAACTTTCTAGAAGAAAGGCCAGACTTGGGGGACCCAAGTGGCCTCTCCACTTCATTGATGACCCCTTTATTCCAACCACGAGGCAAGGGGTGGGAGCTGCAGTCCACCTGAGACTCATAGCTGCCTGACAGCCAGGGCTTACCCTGAAGAAGGCTCTTAGCAGGAGTCTGAGGCCCCAGCCTGTGCAGATAAGTGTTCGGACCTGGCTCCCTGGCAGCAAGGCAAGGTGAGGGCCAGGGCCCTGCTGACCAGCTGCCATCTCCCAGCACTCCATCTTATCAAGCAGGAAGGTGCTGAGAGGGCCAGAGCAAGCTGCTAGTTGTGAGAGACAGAACTCTGTCTCAGGCTCTGGCTTCTGGACACCCAGTCTGACTTACCTCCCAGGCAGACACATTGTTTGGGGGACTTGGGGAGACAACTGTTCAGAACAGGGTCAGGGCACATCCTAGAAAAAGCCCACGCTCAAGTGTGAGGTAGAATACAGGTGACCGTGTGACTGGGGCTCTGTAGAAGGGTGGGATGCCTTTGTTTTACTTTGCAGTAGTGTGGATGAGATCTTCCTGCTTGATGGTGCCTGGCAGTGTCCCTGTGGCAGCGTCCCTATGGCAGCACTGAGATCTGCAACAGGATAGTCTGGCCAAGGGGTGGTGGCTTTCCCCAGGGTGCGCTGGGCACTCAGAGGGACAGCCAGCCTGGCACCTGCCCCGCCCCTGCTGGTCCCCAGCCCGCATCAGTGTAGTGATATGGAATGTTAGGTACAGGGATACATCCTTCTGATCAGACAGACACAGACTGGCAATCTGTACAAACACAAAAGAATCCATTTTCAGAAAAATAAATTACTAAGGGGAGAGGAAGAAAGGGTCCACTTTGTTTTTCTCAATAAATATGCAATTCTGCTCACCTAAGACTTGAAAGGTAATTATCTGGGGGTGGAATTCTAACATCAGGGTCCAGGAAGGTGATTCTAAACACAGCTGCAGCTCCAGCGCCTTGTTAGGGGAGCCCCAACCTTTCCAGAGCTGCCCTGTTGGCCTCTTCCAAGCAGGTCAGAGCACCCGTGTGGTGAGATTCCAAAAAAAAGTGTCCTTGTGCCCAAAGTCTCAGGTGCTTGGAGTGTGGCTAGAAACAGCTCTTTTGGATCCCGCCTCTTTCAGAAAACAAAATGTACCAACTGGTGAGGCAGGAAGCCAGGTCCAGGCTGGGATACCCTCTTTCCCTAAAGGTAGTGCGCTCGATGCTGGGGGTCAGTTCTGCTGTAAAATGAGGTTTTCCAGTTCATCTGCAGAGCGCAGCAGGAAGGCTGCAGACTCCCGGTAGCCGGCAATGAGCTGCCGCACAGCACTGATCTCGGTGGGGCTGAGCTGGGCAGCGGGCATGGTCCTGCTGGTGCTGTTGCTGGAGGAGGTGGGTGTGGGCGTGGTGGAGGTGGTAGAGGCCCCACCTTTCATGCTGAGGTCTGTGGGCCCTGTGGAGAGGAAAAGACAGTGAGAAGGGAGCAGACCCCTGCCTGGTGCCTGGTAGGCCGCTCTTTGCCTTATCATGCCTGCCACATCTCTCATGAGCCTCAGCACCTCAATTCTCCTTCCTCTGAGGAGTTCTGTGCTTGAGTGAGGCAGAAGGTTAATACTGCTGCAGCAGGAGAGAGTCAGAATGGGCAAGGGAGGACAGGACCTAGAGAGGCTTTCTGGAGAAACTGTCTGCTGTCTGCCCTGTGCCAGCAGATCGGGGCAGCAAAGAGGGAGCCCAAGGTCTTCAACACCATGTGTCATGGGGGAAGGAACCCCAGCTCATCTCTTCCATTGGCCTTTCCCAAGCAGCTATAGAGCGGGCTGCTGGCTTTAGAGTCACCAGGAGGATTCAAGTCCTGCTTGTCACTTCAAGGGGAGGTTGTTCTCTAAGCCTCAGATCCCTCATAAAGCAAGGCTGCTCTTGTGAGCAGGAGCTGCAGTAAGGCCTGTGAAACACTCAGTACTAGCTGAAGTGCCAAGGAAGGGCTTATCAGCCTCCAAAGGCAGAAATACCAACTGCTACATTCAGCCCACTGGGACAGGCAGACAGGGAAGTTGCGAACCTTCTCCCAAGGTGTTCAGCACAAGTACAGCCAAAGGAAAGTGATCTGGCCAGCGTGGGAGCTGGTTCCTTTGCTGCCCTGGCTAGCTCAGACTCCCAGCTGCTCTCTGCCTTCCCCAGGTGGATATCCCCAAGGGCATCTCACAGGCGTGTGAGGCTCTACTGAGCTATCAACCATCTTCTCACTACTGCATTGCTTGCTGGCCAGCCTTGCTAATGACTGTACCTGCAGTGGCCATGTTTACAAACTGTAGAGATGAATGAGCTCTTGTCACGGCAAACATCTAGACCAGAAGTAACATCTTGGGATAAACAGGGAGATCAACTGCTGCTGAAAAGAAGCTGATGCAGCTCCAGTTAGAGAAGGAAGGTGGGATTCTATGGTTGGACAGTTCATCATATGGGCTGATTTTCTTTCTAACCAGAAAGTGTGGATATTGAGGAGGGAGTCCTAGGAACTGGTTTGCTAAAGGATGTCCCTGGAATTGAGAGTTAAGGGAACAGCTAATACCAAACATAGGAGAAAGGAGTGGGCCTGCATGTTGCTGAAAACAGCAGTCAAGGAAGGGGCAGCTCCCTCGTTGGCCACCTCTACAAGCTTCTGGACATTGCTAGGGCAGGACCCAGAGGGATGGAGAAGAGAAGGTTGGGTTCCTTCTGGATGACTTTGTCCCTCCAGGCAGTGCTTTGGAGTGGCCAAAGCCACATGCTGCATCAACACAAGGAGTGGCCTCAGGGTTCCACACTTTCCATCCTTCATCCCCAAACTTTGTCCCATTTATTATTCTCCACTGCACTGAGTGTTTCTTCTTTTCCCCCTGGACTGTAGCTAAAGCCTGCAAAGAAAGTCCTGGTGTCTGCCACCAGTCTGACCTGGAGACATCCCCACACAGGCTCTGGTTACAGCCAGCTGTTCAAGTTGCTAGTAACTGCCTGGGGCTAGTGGAGGGACAAGACAAGGACAGAGACAGGGCAGGACAGGTAGACCCTGACTCTAAGCTAATTTCCATCTTTGGATGACAACATAATGAGCAAAGTGAGGCGTTCTAAGCCATTAATTCAGCTGCACAACAAAGGCACCAAACTGATTTACAATCACTTGAAAAGCTGCAGCTGGGAGGACAGTGGGACTGGGCAGTTCTGCTTTGTGGCTGCCCGTTCTTTTCCTCAAAACCTTCTGGACTCAAAAGATGAGTGGTAGTGCTGGGGATGGAACCCTAGGCCTTTGCACTGAACTGTATCCCACCCCTTCTTTTGGTTTGTTTTCCACTTTTTTTTTTTTTTTTTGGTTTTTGGTTTTTGGTTTTTCTCCGGTACCGGGAACCGAACTCACGACCTTGCGCTTGCCAGGCAGGCACTTTGCCGCTGAGCTAAATCCCCAGCCGCTTCCACTTTTTTTTTTAATTGTCCAGGTTGGGCTCAAATTTGTGATCCTCCAGCCTCAGCCTCCTAGAGTGCTGAGATTACAGATGTGTACCACTAAGCCCAGTTTTTTTTGTTGGGGGGGGCGGGGGGCGGGTTCCAGGAATTGAACTCAGGGCATCATGCTTGCCAGGCAGGCGCTGTGCCACTGAGCTACATCCATGGCTCTAAGCCCAGCTTCAATGTTCTTTAAACAAGACATCCATGCTCATGGATGTCCTAACATGGGTGGCTGCAGTGACCACACCACTCACCTCTAAGGGCCCAGTATGGAGAGATGAAGACTACAGCCCCAGCAAGCATAAAGGGAGAGCTGTCTGCCCCTAAAAAGATCTGGCTGCTACTCAGGTCTTACAGGTGTGATCAGGGTGGGGAATTCTATTAAGTCTTGCACCCTCCTAAGAGTTATCTAGCAGCTGCAGCCCTGAAACAAGCCATGCTGGGCGGCAGCAGGTAGACTTGTCACCATGGTCTGCTGCCTGGGAGGGCCCAGGTACCAGGTGATCCCTACCTCTCATGTTGGGCCCCAGACTCCCTGTATGTATTTCAGAAGGGAGTTCTGACCTCTCTAATTAGGGGTTGGGATGCTTTTCTTTCTGAGGGAGAGCAGCCACCTGAGATGGCTGCCCATGCCTTGCTGTGCTGGCCACTGTGCCTTGTTGTAGGGATTAGGGCCAGGCAGCCTCTTATTTTAGGTTAAGAAGCATTAGAAGGGATGAGAAGTTAAGCCCAGGCAGGAATCTTCCAGGGACCTGCACATGCTTCCTAGTTATGAACCTGCAGTGACATGGGGGCTTCGGGTAGCTATAGGCTTAGAATAGGGGGTGAGAAGGAGGTGACCTGAGCTTTCTCCTGTGGCTAGAGACTGGCTCTCTCCCTTGCTGCCCAGGGACGATGAGGTGCCTTCCTGCAGCCAAGGGCAGGGCTTTAGGAATTCTTAGGCATGTTCAGCCAAGATCAGGCAGGGCACCCCAGCCTGTGGGTAGCACTCCCCACCTACTCCTCAAGCAGCAACTGGATGTCTTCAACTCCCCCGTCACTCCCCAGCCCCTGAATGGCAACCTCCAAACACACTGCTTCTGCCTCCTGCCCTCTCACCTCAGGAGCAGATGATACAGACTAAACACAAGTTGTAACCCTTCTGTGCTTAAAACCTGCCAGGGGCTCCCTGCCAGGACTGCTTTGTCTGTGTCTCATCCACAACAATGCCACCTGGGAAGCACTGGCTGAGTGCCCCAGCTTAGGGTCCTGGAGCTGAGGGAACAGATGGCTGACCATCGCTCAGGTGACTTGGATATGGGCTCCATGCTTAAAGGGACCATGGTCAAGGCCTCCAGACACTTGTTGAACCACTCGGAAGGTGAAATGGGGCCTGACCTGAGAAAATGCAGTGTGCCTTTCTTGGCTTAGGTGGATAAAATGGGGGTGCAGAGAATCTAGCTCTAGAAAACAACAGGGCCTGTGCTGGAACTCAGCAGGGCCCTGTGAGGAATGAAACCAGGGACAGGCTGCAGGAAGCACTGGTGTAAGCACCTGTGGTAAGAAGGGAGCTGGAGGTTTTCTTTTTGTTTTTTGTTTTTTGTTTTTTTTTTTTTTGTTTTTCTCGTACCGGGAACCGAACTCACGACCTTGCGCTTGCCAGGCAGGTGCTTTGCCGCTGAGCTAAATCCCCAGCCCGGGAGCTGGAGGTTTTCTCTCTCACCAGCTCAAGTTCTCCTGGCCTTCTAGTCTGAGGACTAGCTGAGCTTGTGAAATGGGGATTCACTGGCCTCTGCTTCCCGCCCATGCCTCCACTGTCTGGGGCTGCTGTGTAGAGTGAGCTAGGTGCTGGTCAGGGGGCCTGAGCCTCCTCTACTCACCATTACTGTGAGTTCCTGTCTGGAGGGAAGCAGGGGCCTGCAGGTTGCTGCTCAAAGCCCCATAGCCACGGTAGCTGTAGTTGAGGCCGCCGTTGACATACACAGGGTCCTGGGAGTAGGAGGAGGCTGGCAGTGAGTAGGTGGAGTGGGTGATGGCTGTAGAGTCCCGGGAGTGTTGCTTGTCCAAGGCTATGGGCTCATCCTGCAGAGGCAAGCAGGTGGTGCTGGGGAACTCACCCTGAGACATGGGGTGGACAAAGGTTGGGTTCCTGGAGCCAACACTGTAGCTTGACCTATGGGATCTGACTGTTCCCTCTTCCCTGGTCACCTGGCCCCAGAAATCTCCCCTCATTCTGCTCATCTCTCTGTGGATGTCACTTCTAAAGACCTTCTCGGAACCCTCTATTCTCAGGATGAAGTCCATACTTCCTTTTAGGAGGGCAGCAGGGTCTCTGTGACTGATTCCTCCACCCTTCACCACCTCTTGGCACCTCCCTCTGTCCCCTTCCTTCCACGTGAGGACCGCCCTCCCTGCTTCTTTACCCAAGGTCTCATGTCTGTGGGATGCCTATGACTGCACTCAGGAGTGGCCCCCGGGAGGTGTCTGGTTGTGAGGAGCTACCTGCGAGGACTGGTAGATCTCCAGGCGCATCCTTTTGGCTGCTTTTCTCGTCTCGCTCTCACAGGCAGCTGCCAGGATGTTTTCTGCCATGGCCGAGGTTAGGTGGGGAGGTGTGGGTCTGGTCTGCAGGCAGAACAGGGATAGGTCTGGTGGGGCCCTGGGCCTGTACAAAGACCCTCACCCAGAGATGGGTGATGCAAGCATGTTTGGGCTCTGGCACCTTAGTTTACAGAGCTGTGTAACCTTTTCGGGCCTCAGTTTCCTCACTCATGAAACAGAGATTAGTGACTGGCTTCTGAGACTACCGGTGAGTTTTGGTAAAATGTCTGGCTGGGAGGCACCCAGGAATCCCAGGAGTGTGACAGACGTCAGTGGCGGCCCTGGGAAAGGTGGGCTGGAGAGGGGGCTCACCATCTCCATGCCATTCTTCTTCATGCGCCGGCAGGACTTGAGGTATGTGCGGATGCGCTTGCGGGCCCGCTCCTGGAACTCAGGGAACTGCCGGCTGCAGGACTCGATGATGGCCTGGATCTTCTCCTTGGGCTGCTTGGAGATGGGCACCATGCGGTCCAGGTTCTCATCCACAAAGAGACGCACAAACATCTGTGGGAGACACAGGCCATAGAGACGTCCCCACCACCATGGCTCCAGCCCTGACCCTACCTGCTCCTGTTCAGTACTCACATTGAAGGCCTTGAGACGCTCCGGGTCCATGCCCTCAGAATCATTCATCTTGTCATTGTCCTCGTGGTCATCATGGTCATCATCATCGTCATCTGCCGTGGGGGCCCGGCCTACTGTCAAATCCTCAGGGCAGCCACTGACTTCGGTCTTGATGGAATCGTAGCTTCCAGAGCTGTAGGGGGGTGACTGCAAGAAGGATGAGGGGCAGCGGGCAGATCAGACAGTTGCCTGTAGCTCTCGCTTGGCCTCTGGTAGGCCATAGTGAGCTTGGGGACGAGGGTGGCAAGCACAGTCAGCTGCCATGTGAGCAACATCTGAGAGGACCTGAGCGAGTCACCATTCCCTCCCGCTCCTTTCATCTGTGACATGGGGCAGCTCCCTGGCTGCTCAGCCGGATGAGGTAGTGCCTGGAGAGTACATGAGCCTTACTTCTGAGGTAGCAGTTTCCTCTGCAGTGTGTATACCAGGACCCGCCTCACTGTGTGAAGGCTGCAGAAAGGATTCCCACCACCAGCTGAGTTCTTTTGGGTGCCAAGATCTGTTTTGGCTTTGGGGTTTTCCTCCCTGATCCCTAAGGGCCTGCAACTCTGAGTTGACAACTGAGTTGTCACCAGAGCAGTGAGTGTGCTGTCTGTCAGGGAAAAAGAACAGATGGGCTGGGAGAGAGAGCCAGCCAAGGTGACAGAGCCATTAGGCAATGTGTTCCTGCAGCTCCTAGGCTGGGCTGTGCCTGTCGCACCCCCACCCCCAGGAGACACAGTAAGCCTCGGTACAGCAACGGGAGATAGAACCATACCTAGCCTGCCTGCTTCCCCACCTGTCCTACAGCCAAGGTGGGTCCCTGCCCTCAGCTCTCACATAAGTTCCTCCCTCAACAGGCCCCTTACTCATCTCTCCTTGGACGATGGCTCCCTGCTTTCCTCTCTGCTTGCTATCCTGTTGCCCCTCATGGTCCAGGTTCCATGCCACCTCTCTCTTGCCTCCTGCCCTCAGGGCCCTGATATGTGCCTTTTAGAAAATTTCCACCTGTGGCAAGTTCTGACATCATGGCCCCTGCTCTGAAGGGGGCTGGTGTCTAGTGGCTAAGTTGGACCCAGGTAATACAACCTGCATGATCAGATACTGTGATGTGGCTGCTGCATGGCTTGGAGGGACCCCAGGGCTCACTGAAGGTCGTATCAATGAAGATGTACATGGCCTGGCCCCCTGGCCCCCACTGCTGCCCCTCAGCCGTCTCTCCCCATGCCTACACTCAGGGATCAGGCCCCCAGAATCACAATGCAGGGTCAAAAGACCAGCCAGGCACAGTGCTGGCTACCAGATGGCCGTGGGGCTCTAGGAAAGTCACATTTCCAAGCTACTGTTTAACTAAATCCTCAGCCAGGGCAGGAGCAGAGACAGAAAATAAACTCTAAGAGAACTGCTAGGGGTATTCATGCTCCCTATCTTACTTCCTTGATGCCTGAGGCCTGCGCTACCTCTGTAACATGTGGCTTTGTGGCAGTGGCTAGAGGGACCTGCCAAACAAACGTCAACTCTGGCCAAGACCTGCTCCTAGCCAAGATCCTGCGGCCTGAGCTGGACACACAGGGACAACTCAGAACTATCCCTAGCACCTACTGACCTGCTCTGTGGAAGAGAAATCAGTCCAGGGCAGAGGAAGAACCTGCCCAGGGCTTCATGGCTGGAATCCAGTGCTGCAAGGCTGGGGAAGATGGTCCAGGAGAGCTGGTGCCCAACAGCACTGCACTGTGCTACCACAGTGTTCCTGAGGTTTCTGGTGGAAGTGTGAGGGCGGCCCAGATATGGCCTCTGCCTTGCCCACCTGTCTCCTCCTATCAGCCTGCTCAAGGGAGGCGCTCCACCTGCTGCATCCTTGGGGACCTTACCCTCTTCCTATGCCATCTGTAAAATGAGGAAAGGTAGACAGAGCAGCCAGGAGGTCTGAGGCCTTGCCCTCTGTGCTGAATGTGGTACTTTCTGCTGTTATTCATAGCAGACTTTGTCCCAGGGGACGTGGGCAGCTCACAGGGACACACATTACCTGCCATCCCTACCAAGGCAGAGGCCATCAACCCTGTTTCACAGATGGGATCTACTGTGGATCTCAGAGGATCCACAAATACTCCAGCACCACATACCGAGCCACTTCCTATTGCAGTCTCTCCAGAAAAATGATAGCATAGTTGCTGCACCATTGCCCCGGCTTCTTGTCACATAGGGCTGGCCCCAGCTAAATTCCATATACATGACTTCTGTTTAGCCTCAAGATAACCCTGCTGTTTACAGAATGATGCGGAGGCTCACGGCTCATGGCCCCACACACCTCAGGAGTAGTCTTCACCCCATACTTGACACGGCTCCGAAGCCCATCGGTGCCACAGCCATCGGAGGAGTAAGAGGGTGTGCCCAGCGCTGTGCCCGGTGGGAGCTTGTCACACAGGTTGATGGGCTGATCCTCAGCAGCGGAAGTGAAGTCCATGGGGGCCGCAGCACCGTTGCCGTTCATCTCGGGGAAGGCAGGGTCGCCCTGTGTGCTGCTTGATGTGGATGGGTTTAGGGTGGAGGAGCCATTGCCGCTGCCACTCTCGGAGGAGGAATCATCTGGAACAGGAGGCGTGGGTTGAGGCCCAGCACCGGCCCTCCCCCAAGACCTCAGAGTGCCAGCCCTGTGTGACTGTCACGAACCTCCTGGCGAGCAGGTGCATGCTGTGCTCTATACCAGAGGCTCTGGGACATAAGCTGCAACCCAGCCCCACAGCCTGGGACAGGTGGGGACAAGGCTGCTCTGCCATCAGGCATAGAGCGGCCACAGGGAGAGGAGGTGTGCTGTGCAAGCATGGAGTATCTTCCTGACCTGCAAACCCACCAGTGTCACTTCCAGGGTCTGGAAACGGCTTGCTGGCAGTCCCTGACACCATGGAGGCCGTAGGATTTCCTCTTCCCACCCACCCTAGTCCTCTGCTCAGCACTGCCTCGCCTCTTCACATCCTCCAGCTCCCTCCCAAAGCTGCTTCCTTTGCCTGAGGAAGGATGATCCATCGTGACCCCACAGCTGCTCAAGCCCTGATGCACTCAGGCCCAGGCTGAGCCTGGCAGATGACCCACAGATTCAGTGCCTTGCAGCTCCATCCTCCGTGTACAGCCAGGTGGCCTTCAGCATGCCAAGCCAGGGCTGCAAGGCCTGGAGCCTGCATCCCTGCACCTCAATGGCCAGCCCTCCTTTCCTGAGGTCGGGCACCCTCTGCTGGACAGAGCCCAGCATTGCCTACCAAATGTGGGAGAGTAAACTTTTAACTCAGGGGGACTACACATGTTCAGACGAATTCTAAGTCTCTCTTCCCACCCGCCCCAGCCTTCTGCTTGATCAGCCGAGACGAAGTTACAGTGGAACTCCGGGGGTCACAGTCAGGTGAGCACTCGCGTGGTTCCCGGTGGCGCCCAGGTGCCCTGGCAGGTCTGCCCCAGCACCCAGCCCGGTGGAGGAGGAACGGCCACGGGGAGCCCTGACCGCCCCTTCCCCCAGGCCAGGGTCGTGCTGGACCCCACCCCCATCCTCCCAGCCAGCAGATTATGAAGATTTAGTCCCTGGTGCTAGGCACGCGCACCTCCAGAGCGTCCCCATGGCTACCGAGCGGCTCTAGCATCCCAACCAATCACTGGCATTCTGGCTGCCTGGGGGCGGGACCGGGCTGCCTATCAAGCAGCCAGGGCCCTGGGCAGAGGGGGATGGGAGAAGAGCGGAGCAGTGGCCCCCCTCCCCCTCGGCCGCGGCAGGTCCCCTGGGCCAGGCTTTGCCGCCTGCGCCTGCCTCCACCACTACCTCCTTCTCAGGGCAGCCTGGCTCCAGAGCTCCCTTCCATCCTGTGGGCTCCACTGCAAGCCAGTGTGGCTCCCCACTAGCTCCCTCTCTCCCATTCACCCCTGGCCTATTCTGGGCTACCTCTGGGACCTCACCACCTATCCCTCCTCCTCCTTTTCCCTCACAGATAGGTCTGGTTTTCTTCTGGCACTATTTCCAGCAACCAGTCTAGATATATGTGGAATGAACAAAATACCTGGTGATATTTATTGAGCACCTGCTGTGTGCTGGCCTTGTCCCAGACGGAGAACCAAACTGAAGACCGCAAAGAGGGTGTCAGCTCTCTTGGAAGGCCAGATGCACAGTAGGGAACCTCATGGGTAACTTGGAAAGTGAGTTATGGGAAGGACACCAACTGCCCTCCACCCACCAAACCACACCCAGGTCTTCCTTCTGCCCACCCTGCTGACACCCTTGGTCCTGCCCTCTCATGGCTCCCTGGTGTCCCACGGCATTGAGTGCAGGACCTGCTGTGTGCTCTCAGCCTGCCCAGCCCCACCAGCCTCACATCTCCTGGGCTCTGCCTGCCATGTTCCTTCCAGCTGGGACGTCCAGTTGGCCTTCAGGGTCACCTCCCTCCTCTGCTGCCCTGGGGAGGAGGCAGGTACATGAGTTCTAAGAATGCACCCTGCACCATGCTTCCTTCCCTGGCCAGGGCTGATCCCATACCAGACAGGGTCTGAGCCAGAGAAGCCCCTGCAGCTGGGGTGCAAGAACGGATGCTCAGCTCCCATGACCCATTCCTAGCCCACCTTGCAGGCATGAACCTCACTCAGCCTCTCTCTCCAGAGGCCACTTGCTTGACCTTGGAGGGATCTACATTTCTCCTCTAGGGACCTGCTCCTTCATGGGCCCCAGACCAGCAGTCACTACATTCACACAAGCATCAGACCCAAGGCCAGCTGCAGTGTCACACCCTGCCATCTGCCTCTCTAACCAGGCTTGCCGCAGAAGGATGGACCCTCTTCCCCTCCTGGGCCTACTTGGCCTGGGGCCTGACAGGGGCCACATCCTGCTTCCTCAAGCTGTGCTGGCAGCCTCTGCCTCAGGGTGTGGACCTGTGCTGCCTAGCCAAGAAACAACAGCACTGGCTCCAGTGGTGGCACCTTCTTCCCTGTCCTCAGATGTCACCAGAATCTGGTAAGGGAAACAGGCAGATGAGAGGCTTGAGACACCAGGAGCCAGGACCTCATGTGGCCATGTATCCCAAGCTTTTAGAAGAAACCAGAAATCTGCACCATTATGTAAATATCCAGATGTTAAAATATGGGTGACTGGGCCAGGGATATAGCTCAGTGGCATAAGCGCCTGCCTGGCAAGTGCAAGGACCTGAGTTCGATTCCTGGTACCAAATAATAATAATAATAATAATAATAATAATAAAAAATATTGGTGACTGATTGACATTGATGACATTTGAGAAAAACCTTAAGTAAAGAATGAGTAGGTAAAATGTGACCTGTCCATACAATGAAATGTTAGCCAGCCATACACTTGGATACATGCTACTATGCAGATGAACTTTAAGAACATCAGGGGCTGGGGATTTAGCTCAGCGGCAAAGCGCCTGCCTGCCAAGCGCAAGGTTGTGAGTTCGGTTCCCGGTACCAGAAAAAAACAAAAACAAAAACAACAACAACAAAAAACTTTAAGAACATCATGCTATGGGAAATATTCCTGATACAAAAGGGTAAGGAATGAACAATTCCACTTGCATGCATATCTAGAATAGGCAAATTCATAGTGGCAGGAAGTAGATAAGAAGTTACCTGGGACTGCGGAGAGGGGGAAATAGGGTGTTTTTGCTTAATGAGTACAGAGTTTCTATTCTGGGGGTCATGAAAAAGTTTATGCTGTACAAGGAGGCAACCATGGTCCTAGTTATATGGCACTATGAATACACTTAATGCTTCCGAACTGTTTACTTAAAATGATTAAGATGACAAATTTTATGCTATAGGTTGCCACAAAAACCCAAGCAAAATCAAAACCTCAAACAGGTCCACGGGCCCCCTCACACAAGCTCCATCTGCTGCTACCCAGTTTACCCAAGCTGTACTTGGCGGAGGGAAACCCCGTCACACACACACAGCCCTCATTTGAGTGACAAAAAAAATCACAGGGCAATGTTCCCCAGCATGGCTTACTGACTGCCACCTTACATGGGCTGCCTATGAAGGGGGCCCCACAATCTGCCACCCAGGGAGGCCCAAGGGTTCTAGTAGGATGCAGAGGAGCTGTGTGGACACGAGCTATGTAAACTTGAAGAGGCCATTTCTCCTCCCTGTGCCTCAACTTCCCTTCAAAATGGCTCTCACTTCAGTAAAGTAAGATTTACAAGGTGTAGATAATTCTTGGTATAGAGCAGACCCCCTCCAAGAATGTTCCCACCCACTTCCTACCCCCCAGTCTTTCCCAGACTGGAGCACTGACCAGAGGGAGCCTGGCACAGTGCCAGAGCGGGGGGTGGGCACAGGGAAGCGGGGAGGACAAAAAGCCTGGGAGAGCTGCTCGTGCCTCTCCCCTTGCTTTCCTCAGCGCCTGCTGGGTGACAGACCAAGCGGCCACTGGGCACCAGCAGAAAAAGACAGGCTGCTGGCCTTGGGCTCAAGCTCTCCAAGCAAGAAAGCAACACAAGCAGCCTAGAGGAGCTGGGCTCCAAAGAGGAGGGTGCCCGCTTTCCCACCCTTGACTTCTACCCGGGACCCCCTGCCAGCCTGAGCACACTCCTCAAGGAAGCCCTCTGCCCCCATCCTGGCACTGGCTCTGGATCGAGCTCCGCACAACCACTCTAGGGAAGGCAGCCTGAAGGTTGGTCCCAAGGGGCTTGGGACCTGCGTGACAGCTGAAGCCCCAAAAGGGCAAGGGGTCAAGATGCTGCTCTGGGAAGTCGATCCACCACTCCCGTGGGCAGCAGTGTGATCCTGGCTGCGGCCTGATGCCCTCCCTGGGCCCACTGCTCCCCTCACCCTGCTCCCGCTGTGGACCTGACCTTTGCGTTTGCTGTCCCTCCTCCTGCTACACTGTCCTTGGCTGTCCCCCTGGCTTGTTCGCTGATTTGAGGGCTCTGCTGAAAGGTCATATCTCAGGAAGACCTCCCTGGCCAGCCCCCTCCCTCGCTCTGACACACTGACCCCTTTGCCTATTTTTCCTGGCATGGTGACCATCTCACGATACTATTGTGTTTATTGTGCCCGTGGCCTGTGCCCAGCCCCCCTGCGAGCTGCCTCTGACAGATCACTCCTGCCTTTCCAGAAGCCACATTCCTTCCTTGGGTGAGGGCACCTGCATCTTCCGGTGTTCCCCAGGGTGAACAAGTGCCCCAGGCTCGGCTAGTCTGCACCACCCACCACAGCGATCGGGACCCACCAGACTCAGCCCTGGGTTTTCTCCAGCCCGGGACAGCTGAGCCTGCTGGGCAGGGGATCCATCCTGAAGCTAGCAGGGTGCCATCTAGACCTGAAACCCAAGGTGGCCCTAGACCAGTGATGACAAACCTTTTAGAGATGAGTGCCCAAACTGAAACTCAGAACCCACTTATTTATCACAAGTGCCAAGACTGCAATTAAACCTGAATAATGAGGCTTTAGTTTTGAAAACAAAACAAAAACTCATATATTAACATCTTTTGTTTTAAAACAACATGTGTGCCATAGTTTCACCATCACTGCCCCAGACTATCTGGCTATGGGAGCGATTAATTTCCTTACTGCCAAAGCTCGCTGGAGGCTGGTTTGTGTCA